AGAAGTTTGAAGCTTAAGTATGTGTTGTTTTGTTTTGATCTTTGCTTTGCTTTTGTGACTTGTTTTGGTGCTGTTTTCATGTTCATTATATGTTGCATTTATGTGCTCTATTTGCTTTTAATTGCCTTGTTAGTCTTATCTGCTTTACGAGTTGTTATTGTCCTTGCTTGTCCTTGCCTTTGCCTGTTTTTGCCTATTTTTACCGCCTTTATGATAAATTTCAAAAACGTAGATTTCGAGGAGTCGAATCTCGAGAGCTGTTCCAACTGTCGTCAGCTACTCTTCATCTACACTTTTTCTTTATTATGGTTTATTCTTTATAAACATGTGGTAGTATAGTTTTTATATGCATGTGATTATGGGCCGGTGGGCCGAATGTGTGATGTGAACTTTTACCATGGCGGCTTGAAATAAGAGTCATTAGGCCGGGTAATTATCATTTAAGTTTCCTACTAGCGTGACTGGGTAATGCCAATGACACTAGTAGCAGTGATTAAAATAGCGCGACATGGCGTCGCCATGGCGCGAGGCGAGGCGAGGCGAGGCGGGGCTTCGACGCCTTATACCCTTGAGGCGAGGCGGCCTTGTGAAAGGCGACGCAATGGCGTCGCCTCAGATGTAGCTTAGCGTAGCACAAGGCGACGCCTTATGAAAGTGAGGCGAGATATAAGTTTTTTATACCGAGGGTTTCATTTACGGGAGATTAAAATTTATCAATTAACAAAATTTACTTACCAAACTACAAAATTACCTTGTGCTTTTTGTTCCACTGGCGACGGTGACCATATTCCGACAGCTAACCGGTATCTGTTCCAGATTTTCCTTTTTGTCTTTTTCTTTTTTCCTTTCTTGTTTCAGTCGGCCGAGATGAAAAGCGATGAAAAGCGAACAGGGATGAAAAGCGAACAAGGGTCTGGGCTTTAACATTGTTTTTTTTTATTACTAGTAAAGTGCACGTGCGATGCACGTGGTGACAAATGTTTTTGGCCGATAAGATAAATTAATTAATTAATTAAACATATGAGTGTAAGAACAAAATAAAATATAGAACAAATAAACTCCTAATATTTTTTTTTTTCAAAAATAACATAATAATATCGTAATATAAAGTGATTTAAATGACATGTTACAAACTCAACAAAAATATATCAAAAGAAAAAAAAAACGAGTCCCTAATAAACAAAACAAAAAACGAAATAACTAAATAAAGATCTAATGTATATTATAAATGCATGAGTATTTTTATCTATCTATATGGTTCAAGAGTTATTTTTTTCATTTTAGTTTTGAGTTCTCATAAGAAACATTCATACTCATTGGAGTTCAATACATCAACAGTATTGCAAAATTCTTCTTAATTAATTTAGTAAAAAGTTTGCTTTATTCAACACTTAGAAATACTTTAGCCAAACATATAGTCAAACCAGGGATGAACGCAGACTCGCAAGACTGAAGGGGCACAAACATAACCTTTACAAAGTGCCAAAAAAAATGATATTTATTATCTGCATGTTCTTATATTTATATCACTAATAATTAAACAAATTCAAATCTCATTAAATATATTTTTTTTTCAAATACCAATTTTTTTTTTTTCTTTTGCACTGGATATTCTTACAACGTCAGCATTCGCAGATTTTTTTTTATAATAAAGATTAATATTTATTACTTAAAAAATCAATGAAAAACATAATTTAATAGCTAATTTAAACTTATAATTATAATTTTAAGAACACCTAAATCCAATATGTATCAAAATCAATGTTGATTTTTGTGGAAAATCCATTTAACTCATTTATATATGTTGCCTATAACATAATATAAATACCAAATGCAAACAACTTAAAATTTTTATTAAAAAAATCTCTTGTAATTATTTTACAATATAATTATATATATAATATTTTTTTTAAATTGCACAGGGGCCCGTGCCCCTACGGGCGCCTGCCTAGGTCCGCCCCTGAGTCAATTTTCATAATTGATCATTATATATAAGGTACTTATACGAACATTTCACAAATATCTCTGTGAAATAGTCATTAAAATTCTTGAATTTTTTAATCATTATATAAACTACTACATTACTCTCTCTCTCTCTCTCTCTCTCTCTCTCTCTCTCTCTCTCTCTCCAT